CATACAAAAGGCATCCATGCATTCCTGTATCCAGAGAAGAAACAAGCAAAAAAGCTTGTGACTTTGTTGTCCCGTGAAAGGAAGAATGGGAGAGTCTGTCTTCTGCGTCCTGTTTCAGAGACTCTGGATAAAGTACAGCAATGGCAGCACAGCAGATACCATTCTTATAATCTAATATTTAGGGGGGAAAAAAAAAAAAAACGAAAAAAAAACCAAAAAAACCCAACAACAACCAAAAAAAAACAAACCATTTAAAAATACTTGGAATAGGAGAGGTGTTTTGTTTTTTTTTTTTAAATTGACAAATTTCCTTTGTGATCTTTTCACTAGGCTTCTAGCACCTACTGTCAGCTGTCCTGCAGAGTTGTGGTGGCTCTGGCTGGCTAGGCTAGAAACATAGAAAGTGATAATCAGTTTGCCAAGGCTAAAACTATTCCAGGGAAGGTGCCAGTGAACAGCAGGGATGATCACGTGCCATTGCCCCAGCCTGCGTCCTCATCCTCATAGCATTGAGTTTACTAGTCTTGTTGAAAGCCAGAGTCTAACCGTGAATGGTTCCCTTCCTCTCAGAGAAAGGAGGCAAGAGGCCCAAAGCATTGTTCCAATCGCTCCAAGGCTTTTAGGAGCAGGAGAGACAGTGTAGAGAGAGGAGGTGGCAGGCAGGGGGCTAGACACACCGTATGTCTTCTACTGTCATTGACCTTTGACAAAAGGACGATACTTTCTGGAGGCAGTGGTTGGGCCAGGCAGATGCTTTTTACACTGGGGAGCAGAGGAAAGCTCACATATGATACATCTGTTAAAATGGCAGCTTCTTGGAGGGAAAAGAAGGAGCTCTCCTCAGAGAGCTGGTCCCCTGTGCTTCCCACAAGCAATGTAGTTCTAGCAGCGTATTAGGAAGAGCTGAAAGATGTTCTCCTTCTTCCTGGGCTTGGTGGCTCCACACCATTCATGTCACAGGACATGCTCAGCTTCCAGGTATTTGGGCTTTACAGAAATCTCCCACATATATTTCTTTATTCAGAAAGAGTCAGAGTGAGGTAGCAGGTTTTTGCATTCTAAAGCTGCCTTTAAGAAACTGTTGTAAATTCTAATATTCTGAAGCTCTTGAAGTTCCTAAGTTTTTAAGAATTGAGCAATCTGCAGTATATCACAAATTAGCATTTATGTGTTGCAAACAGCATCACACTAATGTGTTTTATGGAACCGGGGATGTCTTTCAGGTGCAAGAGGTGATCCAGGCTTTCCAGGTGCTTCTGGACTACAGGGAGACCCAGGAGAGGAGGGAGATCGTGGGCTGCCTGGTCTTCCTGGATTCTCTGATGGTAATATCCCAGCAACGCATGTTCCAGCAGCTTAACTTTATAGTGAGTTTTAACTGATACAGGGTCAGGGTGGAGGAAATATATGTGCGGACTGTGGAATATGCAGTGCAGAGTGGTAGATAACTGGAGGGGCAAAAACTGAGAGGAACATTTTCCTTCAGCCTTGATGGGGCTCTGGCAAAACAACTGAAGTAGAGATGATGACAGAGCCTCGCTTCAGTAACTGCTATTGATTTGCTCAAGTGAAAAAGTCCAGTTACCATTTTTGCTCTAGGCTAAATATCTCAATTTTTCCTTGGATGCTAGATGCAGTTGCGTGAACTTTCCCTTCTGCTACGTTACAGCTCTTTTAGTAGCGTTGTTAAGAAGTTGTTCTGAACTTTTTCCCTGGTTCTGTTTCAGCGGATGGGGATAAGCCAGGCTTACCTGGAGAAATGGGACCAAAAGGTGAAAAAGGTGAATTAGGATCTCCCGCTTATCAGGCAGGCCCGCCTGGGTTTCCGGGTAAACACGGCACACCAGGACTCCGTGGTCCACCTGGTCCTGTTGGAGCCCCTGGTAAGTGCAGGAAGAGAGATGATGAGAACTCACAGGAACACCTTTGCTTATTTCAGACATATCTGTTGTCAAGGCAAAGTGAGAAAGTTGACTGAGGGAATGAAATGAAATGAAATGGGTACCAGGGAGGACATACAGAGGAGAAGTGTTGTATGCTCATCAATGAAGGAAAGGTTTTCATGGTTTTTAGACATTCCTGGCAATATTTGAAAGAACAGGTCTGTTTTGGGCTAGGGGAGGGATATGGGGATTGGGATGTCTAGGGCGCTGGAACATATGGCATGTGAGTGTCAAGGAGCATCTGGGCGAGCTGGATTTCTTTCTTAGCCTGGAGAAGAGAAAGCTAAGGGGAACCTTACTGCTATCTTCCCCTACCTCTCAAGAGGTCATAGGGAAAATGGAACCAGATGCTTCACTAAGGAGAACAGCAAGAGGGCAAGAAGCAATGGAACAGGAGAAGTTCTGCGTAGATATTAGGAAAACCTTTTCCACCATGAGAGTGGTCAGACACTGGAACAGGTTGCGGAGAAGGGTTGTAGGCTCTCCATCTTTGGAGATATTCAACACTCAGCTGTACAAGGCCCTGAGCAACGTGATGTAACTTTGAGGTTGGCCGTGCTTTGAGCAGAGGATTGGACCAGGTCGCCTCCAGAGGCCACTTCTGACTGAGATTGTGCTGTGCCTCTGTGAAAAGCACAACACTGCAGCGCAAGAGCAAGAGTGGAGAAAGGATGTGCAGGAGGTGATCCAGAGCAGGCGGTCTGTGATCCTGCAGTGTAGGGCGTGTGGAAAAAGAGAAGCAAAGGAATTCAGGGTGTGAGAGAGCAACAAATGGCAAGGATCATCTGCCACAGCAGATGGAAGTTACTGAGAATGGATGTGGGAAGCTGTGAGAAGAGGGAGAGAGGAAGAGAGCAAGGGGTAGATAACAACTGCCTGGGTTAGACAGTAGTGGGCATTAGGGGAAACAGAAAAGGGCAGATACAGTGCAGCTCAAAGAAATAGGGAGGAAAGAGAAGAAAAGTAAATCTACAGTAGATTAATTATGTTCTTATTTAATGAAACTTCTAGGTGCTCTCTTTGGATTAAAAGGACAGGAGGGGACACCAGGTAGATTTGGCGTGCAAGGTTTCCCTGGTCCAAGAGGACAAAAAGGACCTAAAGGTAGGTTATAACAGATAACTCAATAGATGATCTGCTGTTATGCATTGTATAAAGCTCCCATTGTATTCAGTCAGAGTTTATTGAACTATGACATGCTCAGAGATCAAGTAATTTGATCTGGGGCTAACACAAGGAAACATTGTGTTAGTTTCCTGTAAGAAAAAAAAATTACTTTTCTCAAGTGTTTGAGAAACTATTCAAGTATTCTCAAGTCTATATATAAAATGGATACAGCTGAATGTCTATTTGTTGTGACAGACTATTCTTCTCTTTCCAATCCTTTCCTTAGGTGAAGAAGGGGATTGCAGTAAATGCCTTGCGGATGATGAAACCAGAAGGGGCTCTACTGGCCCCCCTGGCCCTCCTGGCTTTCCAGGAACCCCTGGCCAGCCTGGAAGGAAAGGAGAACCTGGTGATCAAGGACCACATGGTCTTCCTGGCTACCCTGGAGCAAAAGTGAGATACTTGTTTCTTTATTGCATTGTTTTATATGCCTTCTAGAGGAAAAAAAAAATCTATTCTCCATGGAAAAATTGTGACAAGTACAATTTATTTCTTTCTGTGCCACTTCAATAGCTTTCAGATTGCTATCTACAAAGTACTGAAAGCCAACATGTGCTAGGATGGAGGTGAAAATAGGATGTTTTGGGAAGAGTGAAAGCTTTCCACATAATACAAAATCCACTTTCCATTTAAACAAAGCTGTTTCAGAAGAACCCTTCCAGGCAGCTGTGGTACTGAGTATGATCTGACCATCTAGAAGGGTACCAGTTCCAGTAGTTCCTTAAGGTTGCTTCTAATGAGATGTCAAACTGATGAAATGCAAGGTTCTTCTTTACAACATATTAAGTCTTCCTAAAAATCACCATTCAATAGCCCTGAGAAAAGGGCTTTGCTTATAATTGCTTGCTTGTTATTTACACTTAAAGGTGCTATACTGTGTGGTGTCCCAACAGTGTCATGGTTTCTCACAGTCAGAACTGACTTCAGGAAGTCACGTCTCAAGATTTTAGAATAAAATTATTGTAAAGCTGACCCAAAACTGTTTTTTTTAATGCAAACATTTCAGAGCAAGCAGTGTTTTCAGTTAGTGCTTTACGCTCTTCTGAACATCAAAAAACAAGCTCACTGACAACTAGTTTAAGTTTGGGATTTTTTAAGAATTCAAATAAAATAAACTTTGACTTGATGGTAGCTGTCAAAAAAAAGCAAAAAAAATATTCTGAAAATTCTAAATACTTTTATGAAAAGTTCTGCTTTTTAGAAGTAATGAAAAAAAGACAGAAATATTTTCAGAAAGTTCAATGTTGAAACTTCCATCAAAATTTTGCAAGTTCTCCACAGTTTTTTGGCTTTGAAATGAAGAATTTCAGTATCTTCATCCCAGAATTTAAGTTATTGTAGAACAAACAGTAGTATAGACATATACAGACATAGCATAGAATAGCAAAATATCACTCAGCAGCAAAGCCCTGACTTTATCTCAGCTTTTGGTCTGCAACAAATTCAAAATAAAACAATTTAGCTTAAATATTCTTGGTCCATATTCTTAGGCAGAAGTGACTCCATAATTCTTTGAGCATGTTCAACAAGTTACATATATGGACAACAAAAGTACTTAATCTAGACCAGAACTATATCAGTTTAATGAAAATAAGATTTTTATCCCAAGCAAAGGGTATGTTTTTCTGTGGAGAAAGAGAAATTAGAAACAACTGTAAAACATTTTGAAAATGCCTATGTGCTAAATTGCCTTATACACAACATCTAACCCTTGAAAATAGAAAGTAGTAAAATGAGCATCAGACTATTAATGCAGTGTTACTGCTGAAGATCTGTGCAGTTATATAGTCAGTGAAATAGTTCAGCATTATACGAAGTTTCTGAGGTTTCTTTTGGCCTGCAAAAAGCAATGCCTAAAAGAAACATCTCTGCAGTGGTGTATGGATGTGGCTTCACTGACCATTAAAATGCAGTTTGCAGATATGTCTGGGTAAAGCAGGATTCTTGTTCTCAAATTTGATCTATTTACACTTACAGAAGTGTGCACCTGTATTATTGAGATGACCTGCAGCTGAGATACAGTTTCCACACATGCTTTTCTACCAAGAAAATCTTGGGGAATGTCAATAGAAGGCAGTGATGTAAAAGACATCCTATTAAATAATTTACAGCACAGTAGTATTTTAAAGAAAAAAATAAATGCATCAAGTACATCCCTTTCATTCAATGTCTACCCTGGAATTCAGTTAAGAGGAGACTATGGAAAACCTAACATGCATGTCTTATATTTTAGCAAGCATGAATGTAATTATTCAGAAATAAAGCTAACTGGCATAAAATAGTCAATGGTAAAAGGAACTGTAACCTCTGGACCTTTCATCTACCATGGGTTTGGTGCTGTGACTGAAAGGCTCTTGGCCAGAAGCTGGCAATACCACTTTCAGATGGGCTGTTCAGGAGGAGGATTCTGCATTATGCCAAGGAAAAAAATGGTCTTTAGCTTCACCACAGTTTGCCTTTCCAAGTGAGGAAATCTCCTTCCTTGGAGATTTTCAAAGCTAGACTAGGCAAGGCCCTGAGCAACCTGCCTGCTCAGCGTGCTGGGTTGGACCAGGGACCTCCAGCTCTCCCTTCTAACCAAAACCTTTCCCACAGGTCTGTGGTTTGGGGCAGGTCACTTAATCACTCTGTGTCCAAGTTCTTGTCTCTGGTAAATGAAGACAGTGCTACTTTTCAGCCTCACAACGGTGTTGCGAATCACAATCCACTGCCAGCTATGAGGCTGTCCTCTTTTGTAGTGGTGGGCGGTAGAATTTGCAGGTCAATTTAACCCTGAGTTTTGTTTCCATGGTGCCAAAGAGTTGCTTACAGCATTTTCTTTAGTGGCTAACACTGAGTAATTTACCATGTTTTCTCCAGTACAGTTCTGCAACTGCAGTCATCTGGCTCATGGAAAACCACAGCTCTCCCAATGCCATGCTCTTACAGAAACTCCCCTACCATGCCACACGGACCTTGGTCCTAGTTAGAGCTTATTAAGAAAGATTTAGACACAAGAATGGGATTACCGAAGAGGAAATAATTTACAAAAAGTAATGGGAAAGCAGTAAAATTTAAGGAGACTTTTTTTTTTTTTTAAGCAGGACTGTGGAAATGCAAATCTTGATACTTATTTCCTAAGTGCTTCTGTTTCTTTTTTTTTTTTTTTTCCCAATGTATGTCACACCAGGGATTTTCAGGTCCAGATGGATTTCCTGGACCGAAAGGAGAAAAGGGAGATTCTTTATACATAACTACTAAAGGTAGAGTAAAAATTCATATCAGGTGTATTTTGTTGTTATTTGTACCTTTTACAACTGATTGGTCTCACAGTGAAAGGTCTTCTTTAGGCACCAAAGGAATCCGAGGAGATCCCGGGCTGCCTGGTATCAGAGGTGGAGATGGTTTCCCAGGCAGAGATGGATTAGACGGTTTACCAGGACAGCCTGGTCTTCCGGTAAGTAGCAAATACAGCTTAAAAATTTCCACTACACTCCATTACTAATGCATTTAATTCTGAGGGATTATGATCACCAGGCTGTCCTTCTCCCGCAGACAATGATGCATAACTAGGCTTTGCTGGTTATTGATATGATAAACATCAGGTTTACTCTCAGGGTTTCTAGAACAATCTTTCAATTTTATTTCCATTTTATTTAAACAACTAAGTTGTAGTGTATAACCCATTTAGGCCAGCTGGTTATTACTGGTTAGTTTGTGGTAATTAGTGGTTTATTAGTGACTCCTTCTAGCGTTGTCTAAGAGAGATTCTGTGTTACTGAACTTCAACAGCTTTGTTATGACTGAGTTAAAGCAAAATTTACTACCCTCAAAATGTAGGTTGTGTCACCATATATATGCTTGATAGCACCTTACCTAATTAACAAGCCATCTAGAGGTTAGACATGTAGTCTTAGATCATTTTCTAAGCTCCTTCTGTAGGCAAAAGAAAAAGTTAAATACCTTGCAAGAGGAATTCATCTTGCCCATCATGAATGCTGTTTTGGACAACTGGGATGCTCTTACATCGTATTTTAAGATGGGCCAGAGCCATATCATCCAATCTGGACCACAGTGCTTTTTACTACCAGTAAAGATGAGGATGGAAACATTTTCTAGTGACATTCGTAAGATGTTGATTAGATAGCATAGAAATATCAGTAGAGGAATAAAGGAAAAATCTGCCCATTTGGGCGCAATTTTATGTCAGCTTTTCTTACGGTCTGAGAAGTAAATGCCACACCAGAACATCTCGAGCAATGCATGTGGTTTCCCCAAAACCCACTTGCAGCTATTCAGAAAGGGCAGTAAGCCTCTCCACAGCAGGGATTCATATAGCCTAAGTATCATTCATGGCCCAACATTTTTAGGGGAATTCTCCATCTAAGAGTGCTTCCTTTGTGCCTTTTCTGCCATGGGGTGTAAATTAAAGTCAGATCATTTCAAATATATTTTATTTGCAGTGTTGATTTAAAGAGCTGGGATGCAACACCTGTGGAATTACTGACTGTAAGATGTTATTCATTAGAGTAGTTCAACTGCTTTAGTTTTGTTTGTTTCTCAGCAAAGTCAGGAGTGACCACCTCTCTTCACTTCCCACAGGGTGATAGTATCAGAGGTTTTCCCGGTGATCCTGGTTATCCAGGCGAGTTAGGCCCAAAGGGCTTTCCAGGAGAAGCAGGCCCGCCAGGTGAAGGATTTCCTGGTCCAAAAGGGTACCAGGGTCCTCCAGGTGACCATGGACAAGATGGAAGCCCGGGACCTCCGGGTCTGCCTGGTCTGCCAGGAGAACCTGGCCAACTAGGTAAGAGACATCACTCTGTCTTATGTCCAAGCCATGGGAGATCAGTACTGAATTGTGTGCAGCATCTGTACAGCACTCTGTTGAAAAGGTAGTGTTTGGTGCGGGCTTATGTGGGTTAAAAGGGATTGCTTGTATTAGTTGTCTATAAATCTTAAAGACGGAAATACTTCAGAGTCCCAGTAGTTTTGTGTCAGGTATTGAAATAGCATGAATGAATGTGTTAGTGCCATCAAGGAACATCTTCCAGGTTTCAAGCAGTTGTAGACAATGGAGCAATGTCCTGCTACTGGAGTACTCACAGGTGGTTTTCTCTGGTCTTCCCCATCCAACATAATCTTTTAATTGACCAGAGAAAATCATATATCCATCCTTCAGAGCTCTTCACAGTATCTCTGCAGCTTTGCAAGTCCCTTCCAGCTTAAGAATGCCAGCTCTAAGAGCCCAGGCTCAGAGTTTTATTGCTCAACTTCAAGATGCTTGGCAGAATATTCAAGCCAGAGCAGGCACCCACCAACCCTGCACACTGCATGGGACACATAGCCTTCTAACTCTGACAGGGTTAGGTTTCAGGCCTGGGTCTAATTAATACATGGATAGGGTTCCAGTATGTTATAGGAAATACTTTGTGTTGGAAGTATGCATAACACATAAGAGAATACATTGTCTGATGTTGTAACTGACATTTTGGTTAGAATTTAGAGCATTTTACAGTTTTTCTCTTTTAAATAATAACTGTATTTTCCCATTCTTTGCTCATAGACTGTGGGCAGGTCATTGAAGACTTTTCTAGAGGAGATGGAACTGAGCCAATATGGTCAGGTACTCTGCATACAAATTGCTTGAGTACATTTTAATATTTAGTCTTATGCTGCTCTTGTGGCTTGATACTTTCTTTCTGAGGACTGTTTTGGATGCTTGTGATTGTAAACTATTTGAACTTCAGGTCACAAATCACCATGCATATACTATATGTAGCTGTAAAGTAATTTAATCAAGGTGAATGTATTCTAAAATTATTGTATTTTTAGCTCTGCAATTCAGAAATTCTCTTGAGAGTTTATTGTGACAAAATAATTATTACCCTGCAATCTATAACAGCAGTCCCAGAAAATAGGTGCCCAAGAGAATTTAAGCAACTTTGTTTAAAGAAGAACTTCGAATGAAGAGTTTCTGAGCAATTTGAGATTGAAAGAAAAAGAACCTTTATTTGTACCAAAAATTGATTTGATTGCTTCAGGGCTATAAATTGCCCACGCAGAAACAAAGTGTCTCTCTTGCTCTGAAAAACATAGCTGTCCATGAGGTTGGAATATGCTTCCTGTGCTGATCTAACTGGAGCAGCCACCATAGCCCGTGTAATGTGGGCAGAAGAGCAGCTCTTCTTTCAGCTGTTGGAGTGGAGCTCATCTTGAGTGCTCCCCAAAAAATGCCACCCGTGAGCATTTTTTTTTGAATGAAGAATAAAACTTTTTTAAAATTAGGGTTTTGCCCATTAATTTCATTCACCTATTTAATGGTGTCTCAACTGCAGGCGCAGAGCTGGTGAGAGGCAGCATGTGAGCACGTACGGTGTGACTAACCATCTTTGTTTGCAGGCGCGGGCTGTGTGAGGCCACCAAAGGGATCCCAAGGCAAACCAGGCCTGCCAGGAGCCACAGGTAAGATTCTGCCTTCGCTTTTGTTTCCCACATGCACTACGTTTTGAGGGAGATCATGCCATACCTGTTGAAGTTGAGCCTTAGCAGACAGCGAGTTTTAGAAATGCCAGTGGAGGAAAGCCTTAACTTGGAGTCGGTAGAGAGAACTCAGCAGCATGTGGCCCAGGTGGCTGCACCATTCCTGAGCTAGTTCTGGCTCTGCTAATGAGCATCATCCATGAAACAGAAGAGAGAAAGGACAGCCTATTTGCTGTTCTACACCTGCAAGAAAGTGAGAGTATACAGAGAGAGTCTACAAATTTATTGGTAGAGAGTATACTGAGGTCTCTCAGAGCTGACTGGACACTTCACAAAGAAAGTCCTCTGAGAGCAGGGTAAGAAAAGGCTGCAGTGGAGGACTGTGGCGGATCCTTCTTACTATTCCTCCTTATGTTGATACACGGAGGCCCTTCAGCAAGTGTGACCCAAAACTCTTTAATGCGGCTTGGTATCATGGGCCGGGTTGTGTGACGCAATGTAGTCGCACTGTCTGTAGCCGCGCACGTCTTCCCTGCAGAGCTGGTCCACCCTCACCCTGAGGGTGATCCTGGGCCTTCCCAACACCCAGGGTTCCCCACCTCTTTCCAAAAGAAAGAGGCAGAGGAGGTGGGGACAGGGTCTGAAGGACTGTATGAGATAAGGATTGAGAGAAATACAGATAAGGTGTGCTGAGTGGTCCTAACGATTGACCTTGAAGAGGGAACATCTGACCAGCACTGGTAGTTCCTATAAGCTTAGCTACTCCCAGCCTAAGCAATAAAGCCATTTTTCAGCAAATCCTTCTCATCACCAGCTGGTAAAGGTACTGACAAAAAACCATAACTGTGTCCTTCGGAGTCTGGGAAATGTAGAATTCCTGAGGCACCAGTTCTGGTGCCCCTTGTCCTTTAGCCAAGGTCAGAGATCTGGACTATAAATTTTAAGGTCAAGCTGCCTTTTTTTTTTTTCCCCAGCATAACGTTTATTATGGTATGTATGGATTGATGGATTGATTTGTCACAGAAAAATGGATCTTAAAAGGAATATTTCATCACCATTGAAAGATGATGTGTATCTCTGACCTATGTTTCCTTAGTCCTAATGCCTTAGTTTGTTGTTAGGATCAATGCTTCTGAAGGTGGTTTTCTTTGTAAATTTTTTTTCTGAGTATGATGATTTGTTTATTCTTTCCTATGAGCTTGAAGATTTTTCTTTCAGGGAATACAATCAGATTTACCTCCTAGCTGTAGGATTGCTGTAACACAAGTGACACTTTTGATGTTTTATGTGTACTCTTGGTTAGCTCTTTAACAAATCTTTCTCTCTCTTTGTCAGATGATATGTTTTAGTAATTTTAAGATTTATTTCACTTCCCTTCCTTCCCAAAACTGGAAATGCCCCTTGCTGAGCCCAGTGCAGAACTCTGTAGTCATCTTTCAAGCTGAGGCAGTCCTGGAGCTAGAAAACCAGCAGGAACAGGACATGTTTTACAACTTTTCACAGCTTCTTATTGCCATAGCTATATCAATCTAGTTTCCTGGAGCATCATTCCTACCCACATTCTCCAGATTAACACAAAAGCAACAACACCTCCTATACACCATTTCCATTGTCTGTGTAGAGCATTGGGGGTCTTGTCTGCAAGACTTCCCGCCTTCTTTTCAGCCAGGATGGGTCTCTGCTATAAAAAATCAGTGTCCTAGGTGCTGATGGCACCCTGTACATCAAGCAAGGAATCTATAGCCTCACACCCTCATGTGCTTGTGTTCCTTTGAAATTCCTGGCAACATGCACAGCCCACTCTAAGTTATAACCTGGTATTCAGTAGTCTCAAGACCTACATGATTGCTATTGAATAAAATAATTTTTTTTTTCTTACTACTGTTTGGCACAGCATGTTAGCACCAGCTAACATCACATAATGAGTTACTGAAATATGTGGTTGCATTCTCCATTTGCTGTCTTCTTTCTCTAACAAGGCTTTTTAATTAGTGCAATACTGAACAGAATGAATGAAAGTCAGTTATTACAGGTGGGAAACAAGACTAGGATGCTATTTGGTTAAGAGGCACATTAGAATTTTTCACTAAGACCTGAAAGCCTAGGATTTTTCCTTTTAATTGCTTTCTGATAAGTTATTGTTCGTATAAGGGAGAGAACAATAGCCCTGTACTGCTCTGGGAAAAAGCTATTCACACTGCATTGGCTGTTTATGTGCACCTTATTTGTGGTCTTTTTAAATGTTTCATTCTCCCCTTCAAGAACAACAGCTAAAACTAAAAATTCATGGTTAAATAGCGGAAATTCAGAAAGCTAAAATGGAAAAAAGCATCAAAATTCAAGTGATGTTTTCCTTGGTTTGTCATAGTTAGAGGTGGAGAGAAGCTTGCTTTCAGTGGAATAAATAAATGAGTTGTAATTCATAGTGATGCTAAGCAACAACACTTAAAATGTTAAAGCATGTTGTTGACCTTCAAGCCTGAGCTGGGAACTTAAAAGAGTTTGAGGAGCTGAGGAGGGTAGGGACAGAAAGCATTCCATAGTAATTATTTTTAAAGAACTTTACCAAAAAATCTTGATCTTGGAATGCAATGAATTAATGAGACTCATGTAATAAAACTATTGCATGAAAAAAAAATTATAAACTTAACAAAATAATCATATTAAGTGCTTGCAGGTTTTGAGATGTTAAGAAAATGTAGTATCTGCCCTTACTCAAATACCAAATACTACATCACGAGGAAGCGAGGTCTCATTTTGCCTGTCAGGAGGTAACTCGATGTGAACATGAGTTCAGTGCCAGAGGAACACTTTTTCAGGGTACAGCTCTTCTTTTACTACCGAAGCTATAGACCTGACCTGTACTGTTACAAACCTAGTAAGAAGGCTGGTTAATTTGTATTCATTTTCTAGGATGATTAGATCTAACCTTTAGCCTTACATTTCTGTTTTGTGGTTATCTAAACCAGTCTGCTCCTGTTCTGTGATTGGTTAGCAGGGAGGGGAAAAATTTGTTCCTTCTACAGCATCTCATCTGTGCTTGTTTCTGTTGAGCATTCATCTTTTGACATTGCCTTAAGCTAAAAGCCTTAATTTGCAAAATATTAGAAGTCTCCAAAAGTCTGTGAGACTAATTATTTTCACCATAGTAGTTTCCATATCATTAGTCTTTAAGTCAGGTTAATCCATGTTTGTAGGAGAAGTTAGCCTACATTTTTGGTCCATGTGTTGGGTTCTTGAGTACTGCTAAAGATCTACAGTATAGTCCCATTAAATTTTTTAAAAAGTTTCATCTTTGCATCTTTGCATCCAGAAACACATCATGATGATATTTACCACTACCTTTTCTTACATTATGTACACATTTCTGTTTTGTTTGTTCAGATCACACTTTCTCACTTTCTTTTATATAATTTAGGTGCAAAAGGTGAAAGAGGATTCCCAGGTGATCCAGGTCCAGTGGGATACCCAGGGCTAAATGGTACACGAGGTGATCCAGGTCGGGAAGGATTCCCAGGTCCTCCAGGTATCTTGAAATAATTAGTCATTCTTTATATGCTTTCGAGCTCTTTACTAGAGTCACTGAAACAAAAAAACTTACTTCCAGATACTTAGCTTCCCTTCCACGTTAAAACAATAAACTACTACACAAACGTGCTACTTTTCAAATTCAAAAGGATTTCCTGCAACTTCTGTAATGATGAAAAGTAACATAGATGCCAACTTTTAAAAATCTGCTTTGTAGTGCAAAATTATATGACAGTAAAAATTCATGGTCACATAAAGAAATTCAATAGCAAGATATTTCAGATTCCAAATTTAATATGCTCAGAATGATGATGCAGAAAGGAAGAAAATACTAGTATTAGTATTTCTATTTAACTCTTTCCAGCATTAGTACAAATTATACTGGATATACCAAAAGCGGAGTACTAGCTACTGACCTTGTCTATAGGTGGCTGTGTTTCCAAACAGTGTTTGTGAGTGTTTGGTGCCTGTCATATTTTATGCCAGTCTGTAGTAGGTACAGATTAAATCCCAGCGCTTCTGTATCTCTCCAGAGGTTCCAGGATGTCCAAGACACATAAGTTAATTGTATATCTAGTTGATCTGTTCATAGAGAACAAAAGAGAAAGCAAAAGAGTTGACATATGTCCTGATCAACAGGCAGGGGATGCATCATAAGACATGGCTCTGTGCAGCATAGGGCAGGACCATGAACCTGTATTTCCCCTGCTAAGCTCTGCAGAATGCTCTAAATGCTAAATTAGGGCTCCCATACCATATGGTTCCCAGGCCACAAGGACTCAGACCAATTTTCTCCAGGCTTCCATACTGTCTTTCACCAGTGCTTGGACTTGACTTCCAGTCCAGGTCCTGTTTCCCAGGTCACAGGAAGCCTTTCCCCTGTCGTGTGTGGTCATGGGGGCTTGTGCCCTCCCAGTCACTCATCTGCAGGGTGGAGGACAGGAACGGTGGTGCTCCTTCATCAAGAGTGTGAAGCGATTGGCATTGGCCCCTTGAGATGTGTGGGGAACAGCAACAGCAATGCCCCATCTGGGCAGCTCCTTCAGGTCTTCCCAGTTTACCCATATGCGTTCACTCATTTATTTTTTCACATCTGACTCTCTGAAATGTCTTATCCCTGCTGCATATCACACCAGGTTTTTGTGTACAGGAACTGTTTTTTTGCCCTTACAGAATAAGATGTTTATAAAATGCTGCAATAGCCGTGTCAAAATGGTTGCACAGAAGTTAGCTGTGGTGAGTTGTGGAACTTTTCTCACCCAGGCACTAGGTATCCTGAGGGGTCAACTGCAAGTTCTACCGGTTTCCACATATGGTCTTATAAATGCTACATGGTTTAAAAACTTTTATATAACATTTTGTTTGATTCTACAGGTTTTTGCTAAGAACTAGGGAAAATTACAATAACATAAAAGGTGTTATGATGATGTATATCTAGGATTTGAACTGCAATATTTGTGGTGAACCCTGTGATGCCTAATCCCTGTTTTATTTATAGGTTTTACTGGGCCTAGGGGAGACAGAGGCCCGAATGGTCTACCTGGACTGCAAGGACACCCAGGCCTTACAGGAAAATCCGGTGCTCCAGGGGTGCCAGGACTGAAGGGCTTTCCTGGAGATGTTTTAAGAGCAGCAGCAGGTTCCCGAGGGGATGTTGGGCTCCCCGGATTCCCAGGGTTGAAAGGCATGCCAGGAGACCAAGGAGTACCAGGAATTAGAGGTAACAGCTACTTCAAATAAAGAAATGCTTGAGAAATAGTGTGATGCAAATGTAGCCAAATTGTAGAGATGTGAAAGTAGTAAGAGACTGTGTTAGGACACATTAGAGGTACTGACAACACCAGCATCAAATCCCAGTGTCTGACGATCTCCCATCCCTTCCCCATCTACCTCAACTGTTACCAATATGCTTGGCTCCTCCAGACACCTTCTGGAGATGCATTGTTTATGACCAGCACTCCTTCACATTGTACTACATGAAACCAGCTACAATAGGATACCAGAGAAACAGATTTTGCTCGTCTGTGCTGTTCAGATGTACTGTTAATTTTTCGCACTGTAGTTAAGGGAATTATGATGTAGTTATTATCCTGACTTTTCACTTACATACTGCATAATGGTGGGATTGTTTCCCATGCCAGGAGATGTTTGGATAATACATGGCTTTGCAGAATGGCACACATCGCAGTAGTGCAGAGTTTGTAAGTTTTCACTAAGAGGACATAGTGTTTAGTAAATGTTAATAAGCCATTTTACCTGGTCAGTCTTTGGGCACTCAGGAACAAGAAGAAGATATCATAATGTGCTTATTCATAACTTTAGGGTGTTCATTTTATTTCATGATTTCACAGAGCTTAAAAAACACACCAAACTCCCTAGAGAAAACAGAGAAAACCATAGTTTCTCTACAAAATCTGACTTTGTCACTACTCTCTGAATTCTGTGGAGGACTTTCAAAAGCATGTGGGAATTAAGCATCCCCTTCTACACAGTTTCAGTAGCATTTGGATGCATAGTTAAATTTAGGACTGATGACTAACCCCTTTGCCCTGTTGTGGAAGTGAGAAAGGAGTAGTAATCATGTCCCTAGCTCAAACCAAGGAGGTATCTCACAGGAAGCTGTTTTGGAGACTCGTCTCATGATTTTAAATACAAATAAAAAAAAAGAAAAGAAGACCATCATCTTATGTGAATTATTTGAACTGAAGAGAGCTGGTTACACCTTCAGTAGAGCCCCAGAGTGAAGGAAAGGGATGAAAGCAGCTCTGTGGCATTTGTCAAGTTTGTGAAAAGGCAGAAAACGTCACTAACAACTCTGAAAAAGGTGAAGAAGTACAAGGCAAAACATGGATTGAAAAGGAAAAAAAAAGTTGTTTGACTTTGTGCCTTCTTTCTCAGCATTTCTGTAGAACTAAGTTTTCAGTAATAACAAAAAATAATCCAGTGAAAATAAAAAGCATTACTAGTTTGTCTGTTCTTGATCTATTTTACAATACTGACAGAATGTCTCTGAAAAAAGCATGTGAATTTTTCTGAGTCATATTTTTTTTAGTTTTGTATGAAGTGGCTAGTGATTCCTTTATATCATCTATGCCACTTAAACTACTAGCCTCTCAGAATAGAGAGCTGAAGCCTGTATTCTGTTGTTAAGAAAATTCACCTTATGTGACCTCAATTATAAAGCACACTTAACTATAGTCAAACCAATGGACCTATACAGATGTAAAACCTGAAGAAAGAGAAGCAGATCCACTTGGCCTGGAATTTAAGTGCCATGTACTTTTGAGGTCTTGTACGCTGCTGCTTCTCCAGTCTGAATGCAAAGCAGGCATTGCCTTTTAAATCTCGATACCCCCTTTGCTCTTACATCGTAGAGATGTAAATTTTCACCCAGTGCACTAAGTCGTATAGAATCAGGGCCTTTGCTTAAGAATTTATATGAATCTTACAGTAAACCCTTGCAACAACCTTACTTGAAAATTTCTGAACAATAACGCAAAACCAGAACCCACTGTCTGCCTTAAATGTTCCCATTCCTGCCTATCACATTTTAGAAAAGATATAGAGCATTATTTCAGTGGTTCAGTTAGCTGCTTGGTTCAATTCTTACAAAGATGTATGTGATAAAAAGAGAGATCAGGAATTACAGAATTATTGGAGTTAAAAGTGGAAGAGACCTGCTCCATCTGTATCCACCTGGTGCCAAGTTGTTTCCATTCATCTGAAAGAGCCAGTCAAACTTTCTGATGCAAATATTGAGATTAGTACTGGTAATGTCAATTATTTAAAAACTAATGAGCAGTCTTCTAATTTGCTTTTCCTGTTCTCACTGAATTTTCAGAGGAAAAAAATATGAAAGGCTAGTTCATGTGCAGAAGTGATATGTAATAATCAACTCTCTAGATATTTATGCTCTCTAATGCCTGATTGTGGTATTTTAGGAGCGGATGGTAACCCAGGTTTGCCAGGAGCCAAAGGAGATCCAGGTCCACCAGGTCTCCCTGGTTTGATGGGATTGCCAGGAACACCAGGAACACGGGGATTCCCAGGGCCACCGGGAAACCCTGGGCCAGATGGCGGGCCTGGCTCTCAAGGACCCATTGGTAAGGAAGTGTTGCCCTCCTGTGTCACTCCTCCTGACAGTTCTCTGTGGCAGGGCAACTGTATGGTTTCCACAGCAGAAAGTTAGGCGTGGGGTTGTAGCCTATGCCATGCTTTAATTCCCAGCCAGGAAAATAGCAGTAACGGTGCAGGCACTGTGACTGCAGATTGTGCTGGTATCACAGGTGGGAAGTAGGGGTGATGATGGTCCTCACTGCCAGAGCTGCTGCTTTTCCTTCCATAGCACCTGCCAAGCCAGGTCACAGCTTGGTGGAGGCAGACTGGGAGGAGGTAGCTACCAAATGGAAGCAGTCTTATGGAAAAGGGGCTTAATTTTTAAATTAAAGAGGAGGGGAAGGTCCTGTTGGGAGTGGGTACAGAACCAGTACAGAAGGGTTTGCAGCGATTAGCTCCTTTGTCTTTATAATAATTTCTGCAGTTCTTTGCTGAAAAAAGTCCTAATTTTCCCCCCTCAACTTGAAGCTGGTAAGGTAGCAGTTTTCTCCCTCTTGAGCTACCTTGTATGAAATAATCATGTATGTCCAAACGGTTTTAATCTCCCTGTTCGCATGTTCACATGGCAGGTCCACCTGGTGCTAGGGGAGAAGATGGTGAGCAAGGTTTTCCAGGCCCTGTTGGCATGAAAGGTCTGTCTGGTGACAAAGGTGAAGCAGGTTACCCAGGATTACAAGGTATACCTGGCGTGATGGGTCCCCCTGGCATCAGTGGAATGGATGGCTTTCCAGGAGATAAAGGTGAGCTCTGGACGGCTGCTTTGTAAAAAGTGATGTTGCTTAAAGCTGCTCTGTGCTGAGATGAAGAGGACATGTTCTCTGCTGGGGTACCTCTGTTTAAAACAGAAGAACTAGGGTCACATGCTTAATATATTCCAAAATCGCTGTCTGTTCTCCCCTGGGTTGTGCTTGGCAAAACACTAGCTTGTGATCTGCTGTCCTATTTAGAAGTACAATGACTGTTTTATTTCTCCTGTTCAAAAACATGCAGTATTTATTCTGTTCTCTCTCCCTTGCCCCAGTCCCACTGGCTCTCAGTGTAATTAAAGAGATGTTTCCCTAAACCTTTGCTTGAAAAATTTTTAAAGCTGGCAGTTGTGTACTGCACAATGCCAGACACAAGACCTCAATGTTGACTTTTACCAGGTTACTAATCTTACATACAGAGAAGGTGAGATTCTTGCTTGCCAGAAACAAAAATGCTATGTATAATGCAAGTTGTCTACATCACCCAAGGAGTTTCAACAAAATTCAGCTGCGTGTGGAGCCAAGTTAAATACAAAGCAGGGGATGCATGCCTAAAAATGCATGTGGTGATTTAATCAGTTGGAAAGATCAGACTTTTTTACTAGGACAACTCTGGAATACTTATCAGCTCTCATTTTAGATGAATGAAGGTCTGTTTGTTAATATGACCCATGTAAAACAGCATCCTCTTGTTTAGAAAAGAGGAATGTGGTAATTTGGGGGGAGAAAGGGGCAGCCAGTCCTAGACCCATCATTTGTATCTCTACATGTAGAAGAAGATAATTGAAAACGTTGTGTGAAACTACATACCTTTCTCTAGCTTATCTTTAGGAGAGGGGTTGAATTGATCTTTCAGACAACACTGAGTTCTTGTCATCTCCACAACATCCCCTCTTGGCCAGCTTAGGCAGTTCAGTGTACCCGTTCTCTTGTTTACCTCTCAGAGAGCTTGGGTGCCTGATCTAGAGCTGCAGATTGCCCTAGGCATCAAGGCACCCAAAAAATAGGTACAGCTGCACTGAAGTTTTCATACCATTTTAGTCATGCCTTGCTGGTTCACATTTACTTAGTCTGCAGAAATCTGAGTGAGCTAACAGTTCTCTTCCCCTTCTTTCTTTAAAGGCGCAAGAGGTTCACCTGGCATTGATGGTTTCAAAGGCATGACAGGCCTAAAAGGAAGACCAGGCATCAAGGGAATCAAAGGAGAATTTGGCCCGTTGGGGGCTCGGGGCGATAAAGGCGCACAGGGCGCACGCGGCTTTAAAGGTATTTGCTTATGGGTGGTAGCAGTGTGTTTGCTTTTCACGGCTGGAGAACTATTTTACAAGGACACAAAGACAAAGAAGACACATTTTTCACATGGTAAATTTAGCTCAGACATTCCTTCACCTATTTCACACATGGGCCTCTGTCTGAGAGGCCTGGATTTTAGGCTCAGGGAAAGGTTGCTTCTTCGTCAATCTTTACACATTTAAGGTTGGAGACAGACACCTCCTTATTGAGCTGAGCTCAGATAGTGGACCTCTGGGCATCTACAGAACTCGACAGAGCCTTTTCCCAGGAAGCATAAGGTGTTTGGGGGAAAAGATTCATATTTTGCTCTAGTTGCACTGTAAAGGCACTGAAATATTCAGAAAACCATGCAACTAAGTAGTTAAAAGTCAGAAACATATCACTTGATACCATCATCAGTGAAATGAACACTGTAACTCAGTTCTCTTTCCTTTGCATACAATTATCTTTAAATACACACTTCACCACAGGGCCAAAATGTTCTTTCTAGGTACCCTGAGATAGGTACTTAAGAAAAAACAGTCTGCAATTCAAAGGTTGCAAAGCAGTGCTCCCAGTAATTCAGGGGAGGTCTGAGCAAAAGACAAGCATGAAAACAGCCCTCAGCTAGCTAAATGCAGGTTAACATCACTTGTAGGCAGCTTGACCCAAAAGAACTGACAGCGAAGAAAAGTGCAAGTGTACTACTTGGTGAAGAAGTATAAGACGGTGTACGATCATAAGAGACAAGTCTGGGCGGCTGGCCTGTCTCTGCATGCCACTAAAGACAGACATACAGTCTATTTGGGCCCTTTCTTCAGGATGTTATTTATTGATGTCACCAGTAACCTTCAAATCAAGAAAAGAAAAAAAGTAACTGGTTACAAATACAAACACTTTATTTCGCCCAAGGCTTTTTGACTGAGAGTTTCCGTTTCACTAGAACTAACCTACTTTTCTGTGCTTTCTCTGGTATGCTTTCTGGGATTTTTATAAATACACAATACCTAACTGATCTGCTGAGAGGAAAATTATTTATCACAGAGTTGTCTGGGTCCAGCTCCCCAGAATTATATGTACAAGAGCTTAACTCAGTTTTCATGTTTTCTTATGCTTGACTGTTGTGCTGACATATTGTATTGACACAGGTAACTTTTTATGCCAGTGGATTTTCCATAGCTTGTGCAAGGTTATCTATTAATCCCTTTTTGCTAAATTCACTCTTCTGTCTGCTCTTTTTCCAACATGGTGCAGCTGACTAGCTTTTTGTAACATGGCAGGATTTTCTACCTTTCAGGTGATCGTGGGGATCAAGGCCCCCCAGGAGAACCCCCAAAGATCAAGCCCAGCATGATGATGGACGTTAAGGGTGAAAAAGGAGATGTTGGAGAAACGGGCACAAAGGGATTCTTTGGCTTAAAAGGTTAGTAGTCACAGCAAAACAAAGCAAGCACATTCAGGACTATTGGTCAGTGTCTTTTCTCAGTTGCCATATTAAATATTCCCCACTCATCGTACCACTGTGCTGCAGCCATCCCAGCAAAGTCTCTGACAGCAAAAACCGAGCTCTCATCTGAATTTCTCTGAGGAAAGCTTTGAGGGGTTATGTCGCACATGTGTGCTGCCTTTTCATACTAGCACGTCGTGGTGCCATTTTTGAGAAGCAGCTGTGTGTCAGCCTTCCCAGCTTTAATACTTTTTGTCTTCTTGATTTTTCTTTTTCCTTGCGTGCAGGTAGCAAGGGAATGCCAGGCTTCCCTGGAAAGACAGGAACTCCAGGGTCCCCTGGGCATCCCAGCTACGTGGCTGGTGTGAAAGGGGACATTGGCGCAAAAGGACTGGCAGGTGTGAAAGGGTATCCTGGTCCAGCTGGCTCTCCTGGCATCAGAGGCTTCCCTGGCAGCACAGGAGTCAGGGTGAGTTCATGCCTGTGAGGGAGTACAGGTGTCCTTGTGCTGGCATTCAACTTCTCTAGGGAGGGACATTCATTCCTTGAAATTGTGCTGAAGAGCTACAGTGACAAGATAAAAATGCAATGAAAATTGAATATAGATCAAATGTTGTTGTTTGATCCCTCCAATGTTCATAAAGCAGAGTCCTTTCTTTTCTCATTGGGAGACATACAATTTTCATGCACCAGCTTTTTGCCAGTGAAAACCCAGACAGTTCATTCTAGGTCCTTGGTCCTGTTGCTGCAGCTGTTGGTATTGCTGGGCTTACTCTTCCCTTTTACTCCCAGGACTGATGGTGCCACTGACAAAAATTACTCATTGTCACTCATCTAACAGTAAAAGAGTCTGAAAATCTCAGCTCCTAGAGGGTAATTCACTGTGATTCACTTTGTCTGCAAAATAAGTTACACTAGAAAAAATCAACTCTTACAAAAGGCCCGACAGCAGACTCGCAGACAGCGTTATTTAAGAGAGACAAAAACTATGTTTATTTCTCAGGTAGCTTTGCCCTTCATTTTCAGTAAGACTTTTTCCTAAGTAAGGACTGCAGGACTCACTACCGTGTATGTGTAATAGGATGTTCTCAATTTCAAACCTAAGTCCTTGCAAACATAACTTGTCCTCTGGTTTATACTAGTTTGGTTTAACTGATTTCAGATATATAGTTTTGTACATATATATAAATTATAAAGCAGTATGTAAACTCAAAATTGGTAAACTTAATAGCCTTTTTTCAATATTTCCAAACTGTGCTGCTTGGAAGGTTGAATAATCCTCATCCTCATCAACTGATACCTGTTTTCAATCATATAATAGGGAGAAAAGGGTATTCCAGGAATTGCAGGCCATTTTGGTACTCCTGGCTCACATGGTGAAATAGGTGAGTTTGTTCTCTTATCTGAGTGCTCTTTGTATTCATTACCTATCAAATTCTCAACATTAAGTTCTGAAGAGTCTTAGGGGCTCCCCAGTCTTAAAAGAGTCTACATACAGTTTTAGAGAATGATATTGTAGATGTGGAAGGCTGTGAAAAGGTTAATACTGTTAATTTCATGCAACCTGTACTGCCCAGTAATAAATCCATCCATGGTAGGCAGGGCAGCTGTTCTAGAGACTTTATGTTTTTCTTTCTTTACCTTATTTCTCTTTTTTTCTAGAAAGATAATAATTGATTTTCTAGAAAGATAATAGTTTTGTCTTGGAAGTTGCAACTCCTGCAAAACAACAGGAAATACTGTTTAAATTAAAGCCTTACCGCTTGTGTTCATTTTTGCTTGAAATAGGTGAGCGGGGAGATACTATAAACCTACCAAGCCAGGCCTTAAAGGGGAAGTTGGTGTGCCAGGCTTAACAGGTATTAATTTCGCAGTTGCTCTGGATGTATTACTTTTCATATACTAAAGTCCATAGAGGAAAGGAGTGGGAGCTTACCCTGGGCTTTTGATGGCTGTTGAACCTGTGCTCTCATGACAACTGCTGAAGAGGTTCATCTTTTCTTTATTGAAATTAGTATGTGCTGCATTGACGCCTTCAACTGAAAGTACAGTTGTGGCAGTAAACATCAATCACATGCAACTCCAGTAAAACATTTCCATGTAATTTTTTGCCATTGGTGACAAAAGGAGGGGAGTTGGAACTAGATGATCTTTAAGGTCCCTTCCAACCCAAACCATTCTGTGATTCTATGATTCTCTAATTATGGAAGATGGAATAGCAGAATCAGGTCAATTTTGGATTGGGTTGGTTAAGTAACGCAGCTATCCCTGCATATGCAGCACACTTGAAGTTTGGTGTCATATTCCACATAATTTGGGGAGTACTTCTCAAAACAAATTTAATGATGGTTTGGCCAGCATGCTGCAGACGACTCTTCATTCTCCCAGATTATGCAAGCACCCTGACTGGAAGAATGTCTTTATGTGGCAAGACCAGGACCCATTCAGTAGCCAACTTCACATTATGCTTATTAGCTAAGGGTCATCTAGAGCTTATTAAAAGAATATGCTGGTTTTGTGGTTTTCCAGGCACAAGGGGAGCTGCAGGACAAAAAGGCGAAGGCGGTGATCCAGGCTTCCCTGGCATTGAAGGCCTCAAGGGCGCACAGGGTGCCCCTGGCTCTGTGGGACAGGAAGGTAAAATATTAGTTCTTTTTAGCACTCCAAAGAATAAAACTGCTTAAGAAGAGAAAGACAAAATCTTTTTTCCATCAAAAGAAAGTCATGAAGTTTTTAATACGTTGCTCAATCTGTCAGTTGGTAAAGTGCAGTGAAAAGAATGTGGAACTCGTGGTAGAACTTACTGAGAGGAAATTTCAAAAGCCTAACTTTGCTTCATACCAGTTTTTCCTTTTTTATAGCAATCATGTGTCCACTCAAAGTGTTGTATTGCTGGCATACTCAGATATTTTGATACTGTCTAAGTACTAGAGGGAGATGGGCTTTTCAATGCTCTCTTCTGCCATAAATGAAGTCAATGTCCCCCAGGACCCAGTTAATGAGTCTTTGAGACAGGTTTATTGGCCAACTGTACAAGAGTACTGGGGAACCAAAGTTGGGATCGGCTCTGGCTTGATTATAAACTTGGGGCTTAAGAACATGTGTTATTTCAGGAGGACCATGAAAATGCTCTTTCAGAACAGTTGCTCCACATTTCTCATATAATTATAGGGCTTAGAAACTCCGAACAATACTGGAGCAGTTTCGGTAGGTACCTCACTGGGAAACAGCTTTCCAATTGGAAAGGGAAAACAGATGCAATCAAAGGGGCAACTGAGGTACACATTAATGAAATTACTTATTGTAACTGGTAATAGAAGTAAAATTACCATTTTGATAGGAGCCCCCTATATTTCCAAGGTTGTCAGAAACCTGACATTTGTAATTAATTGTTCTGTTATACCTTGCCTCTCTTACCTTTGCTCTCTTCAGTCTTCTTCCACTTGGATGAGTGGTGCAGTATCATACAATGACATTAGGGGTGAAAACCCTTCATTTTGCTACCTGGGAGAATGGAGGTACCACAAGTTGGTGTTTTGGGATATCAGTTTTAAGGACACTCATGAGCAACCCCTCATCATTGTGGTGCAGGTTTTCCAGGACTGGTCGGCCCCCCAGGGCAGCAAGGAAGCCCCGGGACGCCTGGATTTCAAGGTGAAAAGGGAACTCCGGGCTGGCCTGGCTTACCAGGACAAGCAGGTATTCGTACAGCTTCAGCTATTCAGTCATTTCGATGTCAGCACTTGCTATTGTTCCTTTGGGATGAAGAAGAAGAAAGGGGGCTCTCTGTAGTTCAGAGTGGCCGAGTCCCCTCTAGTAAACATTTATTCCTCATAAAGTCCAGGTGTGTTAACGAAGACCCATGTGGTTGTTTTCTGACCTATGGCTTGTGAAGGATTGGTGTCTATTGAGCTCAGTTTAACTGCTGCTGACTTCCCTCAACCAGGAAAGCAGTTTTCAGGAAACATTCTAATTTTTCATCACAGCTGAGAAGAAAAAACAAAAAAAAATTGTTTAAAATGCAGTAAGAATAGTGATATGCAGTATTAGAATATTATAATGTGGCATTAGATAGCAAACAATATACTTGTCCTACATCATAATCAGGAAAAAAAAACCTGCAAAAACTGCAACCTGATCCAATGTCTGATTTTAAGGATAAATGACTTACAGCTCAGACAAGACAGAGTTCTGCTATCAAAATACAGGTGATAGTTTAAAATTAAGCTGTTCGTATCACAGGGTACAGAATCTCATTGGTTACCTCTTAATTACATTGTATATTAAGTAAGCAGATTTTTTTCTGCAGTACAGCCAGAAATTGCCCTGCTTTTAGTGAGATTCATCTGTCTGAATGTGCATCAAATCTAAGCTAATATGGTTACGAAGGCTGCCTTTATAGACAGTGAAGAGAGAGACAGACATATTTTTGTGAAGGTTGAATTGTCCTCCAGAGCTCTGGCCATTGATAAGAGATACCTGTCTAGCTTTAACATCATGCTTAACACCTTGACACGTACAAACAGATGGGATGAATTTTACCTGTAACAGTAGCAGCAGCAGCTATTAGACATTTTGTTAGGGCTTTGCTGTTTTTTTTAAATGACACAGAGTTAATTTCTTCTGAGGAGACCTTCATTATAATCACATTTAGAGCCTATAATTATGTCATAATTGTCTTGGTTTGAGGATTTTGGAAAACTACAAATGGTTATTAACAAAATTGTGGTAGCAAGACTGGAACTAATGGCATGCTACCAGACGGATCTCATAGTGAGGTTACTGGATAATAACAAAATTTGCCAATCACAAAACCATGGTGTGGTGTATTTCATAATAAGCTTATTGTAATGAATTAATTTTCGTATAATACACAAGATTTTAACACAGAATTGTATTTATTCAAGCATTTGAATTTTTTGTCTAGGCATATATACACATTAATAAAAACTATTATGATAATCATGAGTGTAATTTTAAAACAGGCCTGCCTGGCTTAAGAGGAATCAGTGGACTGCATGGTTTACCAGGCACTAAGGGCTTACCAGGATCACCAGGTAAGTGAGACTCTTATTCTGCCAGCACATAGGCACGAGGCACGACATTGTGTCGGCTGCAAGTTTAGTCAGTGAGATCTGTGCGATGTGACTTTCTTAACGGTGTCATCCAAAGCCCAATGTGGAATTTACCTCATTACTGTGGGCTCTGGCAAACAACTTCATACACAATGTGTTCATGCATCTGTGCTGCCACACAGACAGATAAGAACACAACTTCAAATCATAATTTCTTTCCTCTTACAAAGTTAAAGCCTCAAGGCCTTTTTTTCCTATTATGAGCCATTTTTATACAAGTACGTTAGCATGCTGATACATTATCACATGTGGAAACATTTCAGCTTTCTTCTTAATTTTGAACATCTCCACAACAGGTCCGGATGGCTACGGCTCTGCAGGTTTCCCGGGTCCAGTGGGTGACAAAGGGGAAGCAGGAGAGCCGAGCAGAGTGGAAGGCAGCCAAGGACCTCCTGGTCAGAAGGGAGAGAGAGGTGTTCCAGGTTTGTATTCTGGGGAATGGGATCTACATATTATTTGTTTCAGCTGTGGGTGTTGTATATGTCACAAAATGCAGTATAGTGTAGACAGCTGTATAAGAGAGCTCCTGATGTGGGGAAGGTCACTCTTTGCAGTTAGTGCTCCAGCTCAGCCAGCCCTTGCTCGGAAACAGCAATGTGTTGCCCAATGCTGGACAAGCCAGCCACTCCAGGACAGCCTGGTCCTTCCCAATGGTAGTAGCATCTTGTAGCAGCCACTGAGCTCAGCAGGCTGCAAATGCCAGAGCCTACTCTTAGCCATCAGCTCCCAAAATATTGTTAATGATGCTCCAGGTACACAAACTTTTCTGGCTTTTCTTTCTTTTCTTCTTGTTGCAAATCCATCAATGTTTACCTTTCTTCTGAAAGCATCACTGTCCATCAATGTGTGATTGTCCCCTAATCCCCTGCACAGTGCTTTATTTGTACCACCACCCCCTACAGCCTTCCAGTTCAAACCCATCTTGCTGTAGCGGGCTGCAATTATCTCGGTATGGTTCACCACCAGTTCTTCTTCCATCAGGGAACCACCAGACTGATGTTATGGATGACTCAACTAATTACAGGGGGTTTTAAAAAAAGTTTTCCAACCTTTTGGCTCTGAAAAAATTAAGGACTGGCATAGACAGAAAACGTTACTGCCTTTGCCGGCTTGGTTCAGTGGTTCATTCCTATTCTTTTGTGTTACGCTTTGTTGTTACTAACACGCTGTGCCATCTCAAACACCATTCAGAGATTTATTATCAAGCCCTGGAAGAACTTATTTGTGTTTGTTTGTCAGAATTAAATATTTTTTTTAAATTAATAAACAAAAGGAGTTTTGTGGCTTCCTGACAACTTGAATCCACTTAAAGAATAATCTGTCACTGGTGGACCAGATTTTTGGCCATTTAACATTTTTCATCTATAGAGAGCTTCTTGGATTCAAACATTTGGTTTTAACTGACCCCCAAAACCCCTCAGTGTCTGTGACCCCTGACTCCACAGGACACAGAAGAACAAGGCTGCTTTCTTGTCTGCTTCAATATATACCTAGGATATTTTGAGTACTTCCTATCTTGAAATAATGTTTTACCTGGCAGACACAAGATTATTAGCATTCCACACAGTGAGATGTAATTAGTTATCCATAGAGCTTTGGCACAGAACTAGTATTTGGTTCTTTTAAGAAAAACCTCCACAACATCATCTGAAAAAAAAATTTTTAAAAATCAGTGGGAACAGCAGGTGTTTTCCATTTTGAAAATCCCATTCTTTACACTTAGTCTAAGGCGAGTCCTTGTAATTGCAGTTGTGAATTTTCCTTGCAGTACTGATTATTTCTTCTCTTCCTTTCAGGAGTCCAAGGACCCTTTGGCAAAGGAAGGATTTCCAGGGCCTCCTGGGATTTCAAATATATCAGGATATCCTGGTGATAAAGGCTCCCCAGGTCTAGACGGAGTGCCAGGTAATTCATGCCTTGTTCCCCTCAGACAACAACAAAAGATTAAGTACAAGGTTGTGCCCTCAGACAACAATAGGAGATTAAGTACTGGGTTGGCAACAGCAGTCATTGTTATTTCCCTCTTGATTCAGTAAAATATCCCTATTAAGTGCAACACTAAAGTGCATGAATAATTGTTGGACAGAACAAATGGCACATAAGATAATAG